AACTGTTACAGAACATGAATCAACACTTGTAATATTTCTTCAATTGTTTCTTTATCCCTACAGAAAATTCTGTTTGCAGGATGGCTGGATCTCTACAAACTTAGTAACATATTTTTAGCCAGACTTGGTTTTGGACACACACAAATCAAAACATGAGTTTTCCCTTATTTGTGGAAAAAAGTTTTGGATGTTCAAATTAAATAACAGCCTAATTCTATCTCAGTTTTCATGTATGAACTATATGAACTGAATCAGGAATACTGCATTTCTTAAAATGAAACAGAGAAGACTGACTTTTGTTAATATTTTTTGGCTTTCAGCTTTGTTGTGAATACGCAAGATGTTGCACAGGTGCTGGTTATAAGTCCATTCTGCCAGAATGAGCTAAAAGGAGTTACTGCTGACCCCTCTTTTTCCTCCTATTAGAAGGATAATCTGGCTCCATACCATTTGTTTCCCTCTTTGGAATCCTGCTGAATGAGAGACTTCCTATCTGTTGAAATTACCATAAACGTTTGTGGCTGATATGAGACAGCACCTGGGACATGATAGCCATTTTTCCACAATAGACTTGTCAGCGAGCAGACAGAACACTGGAGCTACCTAGAGACTTCATGCATTATAGCTCCTGCTTCCACAAACCTAGACAAAGGATGTATTCCTGACACTTTTCTGAACAGGTGATGCACATGTCTTTTTATGAGACCTCCCTAATGCGTTCTCTGATGTGTGAGGGTTTTAGGATGAACAAATTCAGAATTCTGGCCCTTTATGTTTACTGTTATTAAGGTGTTAATAAAGGATACTATATATACATTTGCATCCAGTTATACTTGATGTCTCATTCACTGCCTCATTCCAAGTATTGGAAAGACAAATATAAAACCTAATTTCTTAAATTTAATAATATGAGACTGTATTATTCGCTAGAATTATGTCTTTGCAGAAGACTGGGTACAGCTGCTATCTGGATGTAGGAGGCTGTGCCATTGTATCCCAGTTCCCTGTCATACAACGTAGTTTAAGTCCATCACATCATATACTAACTTCAGAATAATTTTTTTTAACTTCATGGCTAACACATTCCTGTTAAATGGTTGTATGTGGTGAAAAATATATGGTCCATTTATGCATATCTGATTATTGGTGACAGCATCACAGCTAGCTGCAAGCAGTCACTAGGTAACTTTGGGTGCAGTATTTCTACAGCAACTCTTTCACTGGTGGCCCCATATACTGTTCTTGCTGTAATTATTTGCTTATTTCCCTCTCTACATTGATATAACTAAAACAGCTATGTACTTTGTATCTGCTGAACCCAGACAACTTTACCTACATGTCTCCATTAAAATTTCCGTCATATGTAGTCATCTTCTTTTCCTGCTACACCCTGGTTTGTGATTCATTTGTACCATATTACTGTTACTCCCATTAAAAGCTTGGATAGGCATTATAATCTAATGCACAGTGCACTGCATTGGCATTCATAGTTGGGATCTTTGCTTGTTTCTATTATTGCTATGCATTCTTCAGTGAGCCAGTGGACCTCGCTGTTTCACTGTTTCTACATTCCCTTTCTCTTTCCCCAGTTTGATTTATGTTAAAATAAGTATTTTTAACTCCTATAATCCCAGCAAATTCAAAACGGAGATGGAGCAAAATTGTCAGCCTGTTTTTGTATTCAGGTCAGATTTGTGAATGAAATAATCCATGGGAATTTCACCAGTTTCTGTGGTTATTTATGCTGCCTCCCATATGCTGTGCTTCAATTTTTTGCCTTTGACTTTGTAACACACACTGATTGGGAATAACAACTTAGGAGTTCTCCTATTTGAAAGACTGTAGAGAATGAAGACCAGCAACCACAGAGTATGCAGCTGGATTTGTATCTAAACCACAAAAGATAAAGACTACCGATATTTGTATAAACATATTTTCCTGTAAACAGTAAAAGATGGTGAAAGGTATGCAAATAAACTCTGGTTTTGCCCAAGCAGATGTTAGAACATGCCGGGTAATATACACATCAGAAGATAAAATCTCATAGAGAAAAGTGCATACCTGCTTGAGCCACATGCAATAATGATAAGCCATAAGGTGAATGTGAGTAAAAACTTTTGAATGTGATTCTGCATTGCTTCTTTCATGAAAGTACCGAAAGAGCCTATAGAGAAATATGACTGGGTTGACTTCACCTTTTATAAGTTTATTTTCCTGAGATTCTGTGAATAACTGTCAGAACTGTTTAGCTGCATAGCAGAATTCTTCAGATTCTCAATTTATCTTTCATTTACATAACAGCCTATAGCTCGTATGACTGTTAATGTGGTTTAATTCTAATTTCTTTGACATTCACAAAATTTGTAAAGGAATGTAACTATCCCCAGCTTCTTCCTAGTACTTCAGAGACCATACGTGCTGATATTGTCATTACCACTTAAATTGAGCACACTTACATACATACACATGGAAACCTAGAACATCGTACCTAGGACACATGTTCATTCCTGTCAACAACACAAGTATTTGTTCAGATCATTCACAGTTGGAAGAAGCAATTATATTATCAGTGTTCAAGACTCTGGAGGAATCCTTCTGAGGTTAGTTAAGAGGCACCCACTTTATTTTGCCAAACAAAATACAGGAAATAACAGATTTGGCTCATGGATGCCAAGAATAACTGAAGACTGACTTGAGAAGCATAAAGAATTACCCAATAATGTGTAAAAAAAAGAAACCAATAGCTTCTATTAAACAGCACAGTAGTACACCTGTAAAGGTTGCATATAGTTCTTTATTATGTAAGATATCCAATTATACCTGTATTTTTACTTGAGTCTGACAGTTCTGCAACAAATATGTAAAAGAAAAAAAAAAAACACAAAAATTTTCACACTACATGAGGTATTGTTCAGTGTAGAAAAGTTTTTTTCAGTTTCAAGCAACAACTAGCAAATTACTTTTAATCCCATGAAAAAAAGATACAGTTGTTTTTTTAATGATTCTTTTAAAATTATGAGATCTGCCATTTCTGAATTTCATTGAGTTTTCTCTAATTGTTCATTGCTCAACTAAAGAAGTTTAAAATGTTTTCACCTTGCAAGTTACCATCTCTAATTCAAAAGGGAACTCTAAGAATAGTCCACTTACTATTACAAGGCACTGGTATGCTAGTAAGATGAATCTTATAGATAAGATTTCTCTTTGCCAAAACTTCATATAATAAGGGAAATTGCTATGAAAAAAAAGGCATAAAAAATGATAAAGGACTCCAAAGGTCTTAAAGGGGGATAAAAGCCATCAAAATGAAAGGAATTGTTTAAATCCAGAGATTAGTGATTCTTTTCAGAATAGAATTAACTGGAAACTCTGTTCTGGTATTTCACAAAATCTCTACTGAGACCTGGCGATACAGCAGATGAGCGTGGTTTATCACTAGGCCAGCTCCCTGTGAATGTTTGTGACTTTGAGGTGGTTTTGCTGATCTTTACTCAGACAAAGTGTCTGTACCTAGCATTTTTAAAGGGAATTCAAACCCTTGTGTAGAATGATCTGCCTGATTTCCTGCTTCACCTTGAGTTCTCTCAGAGAACCAGTATGGATACAATTACAAGAAACTTTGCAGGTAAATTTTCCTGCAGTAACTCATCCTACAAAATGGAACAGCAGTGAAACTGAAAGGTGAAACTGAAAAAGGGTGACTGTCTCTCCTTTTCTATTTTAAGTGGTTCTTCTATCAGCGTCCAGCCAATGTGAGGAGTTCCGCATGTGAAACAGACACGAAAACAGCAAGGAGATATGAGATATAATAGAATTATACACTTCCTGGGAAATAAACACGTCATTGTTTTCCCAACAAGATTTATAAATTTCTCTCTGGTTTCAGTGTTCATTAAGCTTTCAGTATCTGTATAATGTGTGTGCATAGAGACAAACTACTTTCTCCTTGAAATATGTGAAGGCAAATGATTGTTTAGCTGTGAATACCCTAGTTTGCTGCTGTTGCATTAACAGCTTATATACATATATACTATCTTTGGTGTCTGTGAAGATTGTGTCTATGTTCATTTGCATTTGTAAGAGGAGATCGTAGTATTAAAGTACTTGACAATCAATGAAATGATGAAGAGTTTATAGTCTCTGGACCTGCTGACAAGAAGTGTTTAAGGTGTTTAGAACACAGGACTGCACAGTGTGTGGTTTCATTAAGCTCTCCAAGCTGTACCACTGATGTGCTGATAAACCAATGTCCATGCTTTCTTTTCTTTAATAAACACAATTCTTTTCTATAATAAATACAATAAATGCATCACAGATACATTCTGAACATTCATAAAAGATCTGAGAGATTTTCTATGAAATTTAGATGGAATGACAAAGCATACATCATCATAAGAAATTAATTATTGTATTTCTAGCTCAAGGAACAACTTAGTAAAAAGGGCTTGAAATTTAATAGAGCTGTTGACCAGAAAACAGCAATGGAATTGATGGAATTTAACAGAACTGAGGGAATGAAGTCTCTTCCAAACTATCCAATCTACCCATCTATCACCTATTTTTTCTAATCTGTTATAAAAGATCAGGAGATAGATGTTTTGCCAATCTGGGTTTACAGGCATGGGTTACCCTGGCTCACAATTCATAGTTTAAACTTTCTTTAGTCTTGGAAGTATTTTTCTGAGATACATTACTTGTGATAACAATAGGACATTGTGAAGGAAATAATCTGTTCATAAATTAAGAGAAAAAATAAGAGTCATCTTCATAGAAGCTACATATAGTAATTTGTCCAGTTAGATTGCCTTGGAATTGCTTTCTTTGTATACTAATTCAAACTTCTTGTTATATTGCCTCTAAAACAGCAAGAGTAAATGTATCTCCTTCTGCAGGTTATAACACTTTTATGACATGGAAAGTTCATTTATTATGATTTCATGTGTGCATTTTTATCAAATTATTTAAAGAACAAAAAAGAAAGTTTCTTTTTTATTTCTTACCTGTGACTAAACTGGACACAATTAGTGGCAGGACCAGCATTTGCAGCATTCTCATGAGCAGTTCTCCTGGAAATGAAAAGTACTTGACTTCCCGATAGCTCATCTTATATGAACGGAGAGAAAATCCAAGTATTACACCTAAAGAGAGGGAAAAGATATTATGATTTACTCTTCTAAAGTAGTAGTAACATCTTAACATGAATATCTGCATAGTACTTACTTCGCATATCTGATTGTAAAATGCAGTGTCCCAGACTGCACTCCTGATTTGTTCTCTGAAATATCAACTACTGTTAGGATGATTCTTGCAAAAACCATTATATTATTTTTCACTGTAACAGAATCATGAGGTTATTTGTGCTGCTATTTTTTCAAATCTGGATTAATGTCAGAAGTATATCTTAAGCATTAATGAAAAGATAACAGCTCCTGCTACTGCAGCCAAGTGCTTTGAATTCTGGGATTGTGAGTGTAATCATATTTGCAATGCACATACATACTAGCTACCAACCTTCAGAAGTCTTGTCCATGCCTGTTTACACTGTGGAACCTAATCCTGTAGATGAGCTGGAGATTGGATGAGATAACCTTTGCAGATGCTTTACACGGCAAAACAGCATCAGGAGGTTTGTAGTTCTACACATGCCTACATTCAGAAACATAAGCACTTGCAAAGCAGCAGCTAATCAGGGTTGGAAGGTCTTGTTGGATGATCAAGAGGTGGGTTTCAGTGCCTGAGGGAGTGGAGCAAGGGAGTGGATCCATTTATCTTGCTAGCAACAGATAAATGGTGCTTGAGATATATTTACAAATAGAATCTACAGATGAGCTGATGTGTGGCAACCTAAATCTCACAGCTAGAACTTTGTATATTTTGTCCTGTACTTGGCACCAAATGCTTTATTTGCTTATTTAGTTAAGTATTTGGTTAATTTACATAAACAGCTGCAATTTACTAAAAAATGGTTTGGTGTCTATCTGATGTAGGCCTTCTATATCCAGCCAGGCAACACATTTTAAATATACAGATCATGAAGCCCAACTATCCCTCCTTCCCATTAATAACTCCATATTCTTCCCCACTGTCTAGCACTGGTATTTGTGTTGACCATGGCTGTATAGAAAGCTGAATCAGAGAACTGATAATTCTGCAAAAATTATTTATTTTTTCTGAGTTAATTTGGAGCTAGGTCAATTCCCTGAGGTAATTTCTTTGCATGGCTGCACAAGTGTTGGTATCTTCACAGGGAACAGGTAGAATTGTGCCTTGGAGAAGAGTGGGACTGCCCTTTTTGGTAGATAGACAGACTTCAGTTTTCTAAAACTTTTCATGAAACTGAATCCTCAGTGATGTTAGGCAGCAGAGCATTCAAGCTCACTTTTAGATCCTATTAGCACTTGGGTACATCCTAAAACTGCTGTAACATGGAACACTTTTGGAAACTGTTAGTTCCAATTCTTAATCACTTTGTGGTTTTGCGCTTTTTAAAATAATCAGATTTTAGATTGGCACATCCATACAGCAGATAATAATATTTTCATGCCAAATTTTACTAGCTAAAATATGCTGTTATGCCTCCTACACTAGCTTATTGCCGTCTGCTGATGTAAGGAAATAGCTGTAACTCTCATGTTAATGAGTCCTGTCTGTCTGATCATGCAGGCTGGTTAAGTTAGAGGAGTCCAGAAATGTCCTGCATAGGACAGAAAATCTCAGTGTTACAGGACAGGAGAAAAGTAATTAGAGCACAATTGGAACCAGGCATGGAGTCCACACTGTGGAAAAAAGCAATGGGACTACAAAGCATGTAAGTCTCATTCGTACTGCAAGAAGACTCAGGTAGTCCAAGTGCATAAATTACTTTTCAGGTAAAAGTAGATCATAAAATATATAGAGAAAGGGATTCTGAACTATTCTTGATTAAAAGACCTGCCTTAGACTTTCTCTTCTTTCCAGTAAGGTTTTAAATTCCACAGCAGTGTTACTCATTACCTTCTTTTTATATGGTGAACACATTTCTCAGATATAAAGAATCCATCCGGACCCTTTGTTTCTGCATTTAATGAGCACTGCATTTTGACAACTGGATAACAAGCAAATAGAGCTAGACCAGTTTCTTAGGCCACAGTCCTGCAATTAGTTCCACATGAATTAATGTCTGCACTAGTACAAAGCCTCACTGAAGCTAGTAAGGGTTTCTGAGGCTACTATAAGAACTAGTCCTTATGCTATACTATAAGGGCTTGATTATCTGGTCCACTACTGTCCAAGCACTACAAAATGGCCTAAGAGAAAATCAGGGCCTGAGTAAATGGCTGTTTGCATTAATATTAGTCATAGTGAGAATAAGTTTCTGAAGTTTTAAGTAAACTTGTTGAGCCCAAAATTACTGCTTTTTCTTGTGTGTGTGTGTGTGTGTGTGTGTGTGTGTGTGTGTGTGTGTGAAAACACTCTCTGCATAATTACAAGGTTGCCCAGCACTGCAGTTTACAAAAAGAATTTCTGTGATGTGGAAAAAATGTGCCTGGTAGTGCATTGTGGTGAACTGGGTCAACACCCAACAGTTAGTAATTCTTCAGCCTTAATCTTATCACTGCTATTAATTTCTATGCAGTTATGCCTAAGACGTAAGAACGTTTCTCTGACTCATTTTCCCTGCTTGTAATATGGATGTAGTAGTGATTGCTATTACTGATGTTTCTGAAAATGTCTTCACATAGTGAGGCTCAGTAAAGGATCTCAGCAAATTATTTCCTCATTGTATGTGTGACAATGAAAGCATTGAATAGATAATGACAGAACAGCATGATTTTACCAGTGTCTCTTGATCTTAGAGTATATGGAGATTAAACTTTATTTTTGGTTCTGAGTTTAAATACCTAGATACTGGGTATTACATCCTGACAAAGTTTCATTAAGAAAAATCATGAACTTGAAATAGAAAGGTCAAGCTTGGAAAGGTAGCTTTGACTTATTTGAATTCACTTCTCAGAACCAGCATTCACAGTGTTTAAAATAATGAGAAACCAGCATACAACAATGATTTAAAGACAGACACAATGACAAAGTATCAAAATAAAATTGGGAAGTAACACCAGGTAAGAGGTACTAAATCTTTCTAAGGTGTGTGGTATTTCAACAATCATCCATGTCTTTGTGTGTGGTAAGAACTGCAGTGCTTAGCACCCTCCCCAGTCAAGACTCGGAGAATTAAATACTGGAGCTGGCCTTTCTCAGTAGAAGTTTCAAGTTGCTGATTAATTCTGAAAATTGTAATGAAACAAAGCCTTATGTGAAACAAGTTCCCACAACCTGTTGTGCAGGTTTCTGTCTACCCTTTGTAACAGAAAAGAACAACTAATCAACGCTATCAGAGCCTGACTTCTCAAATGGTAAACGGTGTACCATTTCTGCACTGCAGGGAAGAGTAGATTTCTCAATAGAATTTGTTAGGATTTTTCTGGACAAAAATCAGTAGTGCTTGTTTAAGTTAAGGAGATTTACTCTATACACGTGTATAGTTGTATAACAGAACCATACTGCTGAATGATTTATACAGTTCACTATGAAGAAGCAAATCAGATTGTAGTTACAAAAAGATTTTTGAGGTGTTCTTGTCAGTGAGATAGCCAAATTTATGGAAAAGTTCATTTTTAGATAATCCTAAAGACAATCAGAATAATCCTGGGGTTACACAATTTTATTGCATTTTTCTACCAATAGAAGTTCAAAAAATGCTCAGTTTGTATGAATAAAGAGAAGAGGTTATATTAAACTCAAAAGTAGCAGAAGGTGAAAATAATTCTAATAGCAACAAGAATGGGATGGAAATGGCAAAAATAGCAGATATGATTTGGGACTGTTTATTCCTAAGACAGGAAAACACTGATGAATGTCCTAGGGTTTTAACTTCTAGATGCTGCAATACCAGAACCGAAAAATAAAGTCTTGAGGTCAGGCTTTAAAAGATATGGGTATACCTGCAATTGCTAAGAAGCATACAAACTTCTATACAAAATTTCTTAAATGGATCAACATCAAAATGTGATGAAGTGAGCACTACAATCAGGGTCTGAAGGAACAAGACAAAAACACTTCTGTAATACTCAGTTTTTAGGAATAGTTGTGTTATGGAGATATTTATTCTTTTTTGGTTGGGTGTTATTTGAAAAAAAAAATAAAAAATATTGTAGTGATCTACCAGAGTATCACCAACTTATAATTTCCTGAGTTGAATTTGAAAATGAACTTTAAAATACTCCATGAAGAAAATTAAGTTCTTAACTGTTATTAACTTGAATGTCTTGTTCTCACAATGCTAGAGAGCTCTTTCACATGATCCTTTGTGTTGCATAAATGCAACAGGTTGCATATCCACACACAGGTTTAAAACAGCTTATCAGTAAAAGAAACCAAATCATAACTCTTCGAAGAGGAAGGAGAGATGGGGCTTTACCCAGATCTAAATGCTATTTCAAGGACTTTAGGAAAGCTAAAGACTACTCTTCTCTTTGTCATTCTTAGAAGAATTAGATATAAAAGATTAATGGAGCAGATTGTGGGGCTTTTTCACTACTTCAAATCATTCATAATTTTAAGAGAATAAGGAAGCTCCTAATAGGCATGGTGTTTTTAAGTGAACAATAGCAGCATTTTTCGTAAATAAGTGAAGTCTTGTTGTTTTTTTAAATTAAACCTTATGCGCTTCTGGAGATAATACTTTTTACAATCTCCATGCTCTCTGCTGTATTTTCATGCAGAAAGTAGAAAATCCAGCAGGTTTACTTTTTAATTGATCAAAAATTACTTAAGCATATTTCAAGAGGAAAATACTAGGTGGTGTACTAATGAAAGGGCAAGAGATGTGTTTTCTATATTAGTACTTGCCAGCTGAAACAGAACACACCAGTCAGATTTACATACACTTCTGCTTTTTACCAGTAAATCTCAAAGCACTGTTAAATGAGGTCTTTATCAACAACCTTCAACAGGATATTGATAAAGACTTATTTTTTCTTTTCTAGCATGAAATATAAAACTTCATAAAAACTGGAAAAGAATACCTTAAAATAGGTGAAATGACACGATAAAGTAATAGCTGTAAATAGTACACTTCTAGAAAAACTTGTAACCAGCA